TGTTATTGTGTGGAGTATCAACGCCATGGCGACGGGGGTCTTTCCGGAATTCGCGCGCGACGGGGCCCCGTTCGTGAGCGAGTGGAGGCGCGCCGCGCGGGGCTTCCCCCTTTGCGGGGGGGCTCTGCGCGGCCCTCGTGGAGCTCAGGGCAGACGTGCTCGAGCTGATCTCCGCGCTGATCTCCGCCCAAGAGCATCCACAAAGGAGGGGCCTTCTACGTTTCACTGCTGGAGAAGTTGCTAACAGTGTATATATAAAACAGCTTGCGTGCTCGCGCGCGCCGCGCACGTGCGCGTCGCGTCGATCGTCGTCAAAGAGAGCGGAGAGGAGAGAGAGGGAGGGGAAGAGAGGCTGAGAGAGAGAGAGAGAGAGACAGAGAGAGAGAAAAGAGAGAGTATACTATATATCTATATATATATAGAGAGAGGGAGAGCGAGAGAGAGAGAGAGAGACAGAGAGAGAGAGAGAGAGAGAAAGAAACAGAGAAAGACAAATCAGAACAGGAGAGAAGGGGCTGGGCAGGAAGGGGGCACCGCGGCCGCCAGCGCAGTCGGGGGCCCCATCCAGGAGCCAGAGGCCCGAAGTGGCTGGGAGGCCGCCGACAGGGGGCGCGACGCGCGTTCCCAGACCTCATTTCGACAATCTGTATATATATATATAGAGAGAGAGAGAGAGAGAGAGAGAGAGAGAGAGAGAGAGAGAGAGAGAGAGAGGGAGAGAGAGAGAGAGAGAGAGAGAGAGAGAGAGATGCTACAACTTATATATAGATATATGTACATATGTGTGCTTATCTGTATACATTCATATACATGTGTAAACGTGTAGATACATAATATGGTTCCCATGGTCCCGAGGCCGTGGACCTATGCAGGTCCAGCAACCAAGCTATGTCCTTGTCCGCGGGAAGTGGCAGGAATCTTTCCAGGGGCCCGAGACGTCGAATCGTCGATCGGAGGTTTGGGAAATTCGCATTCCTCTTCCTCCCTCCCCCTGGGCAGGGGCGGCACCCGAGAGTCGCCGATCGAACCCCTCCTCTCCTTCCCGTGGGCAGAGGGCGCCGAAGCCGACCGCGGGCGCCAGGGGCCAGCAGGGTTGGTTTCTTTCTTCTACCGCCTCATATTCGAACCTCCTCCCCTTCCTCCTCCTCCTGCTCCTCCTCCTCCTCCTGCTCCTCCCCCTCCTCCTTTTCTCCCCGAGCGCCAGCTCGGGCCAAACCGTGGCCCCCGAGCCAGCGCCGCGGCGCTCCCGCGCCGCCCAGGCCCCCCCCCCCCTCCTCATCGCGCCCGTCTCCTTTCGCCGCGGGATGGACCGGTCGGCCGGGCTGCGGCTGGGCTGCCGCCGCCGCCCGAACCGCCCTGCCCCGGGGCGCCGCGCGCAGTATGCGCGGGCGCAGGGGCGGGCGGCGCAGCGCCTGCTGCAGGCCTTCGAGGCCATCACGGTGCACCGCGGCCAGCAGCTGTCGAGGCTGGGCCATGCGGTTCGCCTGGCGCTCCGAGAGGGCCCGCTTGGAGACCCTGCCGAGGGTTGGGCCCATGGCGAAGCAGGTGCGGGAGCTGGCGCCGCGCGGGAAATCACCGGCACTCCTCGGCAGGCGGAGGCGGCGCCTGGCGGAGTCATTGGCGCGGCCGCCGACTCCGTGCTGGAGCCCGCGGTCGTCGTGGAGGACTTCGCCGATGTGCCGTCGGAGGAGGCGCCGAAGGGCGAAGAGCGCGCCGTGGGCCCTCGAGTCCAGGGAGAGGCCGCTCCCTTCGCTGCGGAGGCGCCAGGCGCGGCCGCAATCCCTCCCGCGGGGCCCCTGCGGGGAGTAGCTTCCCCCGATGCGGTGGGGGCGGGCGCGGGTGCTCGTGGCGGAGGCGCTGGCGCGGACGCTGGCGCGCTGCTGCGCGGGCTCGGGGCGGCGATGGCGGCAGCCGCCCCTGCCCCGTCGGCTGCCGAGCGTTGGGCGACCAGCGCTGAGCGCGCGCGGCTCCCCCGAGACGTCGACGCTCTACGTGGCGCTTCGGGCTCGGAGGAGTGCAAGCAGAGTCGAACTACTTCGACTCGTACGGCTTGCACCTCTCCTTCGTGTACTCGGGCTCCCGTTCTGGGTCGTCGCGTTGCTGGAGGAGGTCAGAGTGGCGGGGGGCCTAGAAATTTTTATTATCGCCCCGCGATGGGGCCCATCCCATCCCATCTCCTCTTCCCCCCGCCCCGCCCCCCCCCCGTGTTTCGCCGATGTCCTGCAGAGGCGCGCCACCGTTCGAACCGACCCCCCCCCCCATCGACACCTTGAGCAGCCTCGATCCAGCTCGAATTCTGGAGAAGACGGCAGGGCGCGGGGGGGGGGGGGGGGGGGCGCCCCTCCGGAATGCACGGGGCCCCGCAGGTCCAGAAGAAGTCCCGCCCTGAGGGCCGGGAGGCATGAGATCGATCGGCCAATCGACCCAGCCGGCTGGTCTCGATCGAGCGATCGACGGGTCGATCGACCGATCGATCCGTGCCTTTCGGCTTCGCCCCAGTGCACTGCCGAGTCTGGCCCTCGAAGAAATCGAGTGCGGGTTGCGGTTGCGGCGCCGTCAATCTAACCCAGGCCACCCCGTCGACGCGAGTGCGGGGCGCGGCGATATATTCTATGGAGGGCCGACGCTGTACGACGCCAGATGTCCGCAGCAGTATTCTATGGGGGGCCGACGCTGTTAACATCGCGACGTCAGATGTCCGCCGCAGTATTCTTTAGAGGGCCGACGCTGCAATGCGACGTCAGATGTCCGCCGCAGCATTCTATGGAGGGCCGATGTCCTTCGCGCCATGCTCAGACGCCCGATTGCTTACCCCCTGCTTTGCTATATCTCAAGCATGATGTGCGCATGTTGCACGGACGCACACGCGCGCGCACTCACGCGTTCAGGCACACACGCGCATGCATTCGCACACTCAGGCACACGCGCACGCACGATCGCCGAGTACCTTGTTGACGTGCGAGCCTGGATCCAAGTGGGAAAACCGAATGGACTCGGTTTCGAGCATTTTTTCACCCCCCCTTTCCTCCTCGCTCGGCCTCGACCCCAATGACTTCAGCAGGGGCCCCCGCGACAGCCCCCCCTCAGCCCCCCCCCCCCCCCCCCCCCCCCTCATCCGCCTCCTCCGTCGGCGCCTCCGCCGGGGCGCGCTCCGCCCCGCCGTCGGCCGCGAGCCGATGTGCGTCGCGATCGTCGGAAACATCCCCTCTGCATGTTCGCGCTTCTTGTCGCTCACGCGTGGCTCTCAGAGTGGGCGTGCATGAGTGTGCAGTGATCTACGACGACTAGCTAGATGCGGTTGATATGGCGCTCCATTGCCACGTACAGTAGGCATGTATGTATGGTATGTATATATGTATGTATGCATGCATGCATGCATGTTTGCATGTATGTATGTGTGTGCATATGTAATGTATGTTTGTATGTATGTTTTTACGCATGCATGTATGTATATGTGTGCGCATGTTTGTTATATTGTATGTACGCGTGTACGTGTAGTATATATGTCATTGTATGTAGGCATGTAGGCATGTGTGCACATGATATACATACGTTTTACCTGTATGTATCCTCTCTCCGTTCCTGAACGCTAGGATATTCAACAACTAGTTCCTGGAGCTGCCTGGCTTTAAGCAGGACCCGCGCGGGTCACACCGCGCTGCTGGGTATTATTGCGCATGCGATCGAGAAATATCGGGCCGCTTCGTGCATTCCCATCCCCTGTGCACGTCGTTCGGCGGCGATATGTGCTGCTATAACTATATATGTATACACATGTTCCTTCCCCCGATATAGCGACCGAGTGGTCGATCCCTTCCTCGACGCGGAGATTTGCACATCTAGTAGTTGACTCCTAACGCAGCAATCCCTGCCCTCTTGCGGGCGGGCGCGCAGGCGTGGGCGCCGTTATGCACGGCGCGCGGCGCGCTCGAAGATGAAATGGCGCGCCCGCGCGTCCCTCCGCGACGTAGGATCCTGTCTGCGCCCGTATCAACTGCTGGACGACGGTCAGATCCCGATGTCGACTTAGTCGTCAGATCCCGACTTTTTGATGTCTTGATTTGTTCTCTTGATTATCTTGTTTGTTTGAAGCAAAAAATCAATGCATATCCAGGCGGCTCAATTCAATTTAGACCGCAGGAGGTCTTGGTTCGTGAAGTTTGCAGCCTATCATTGGCCGCGGGGGCCCGTACTCCTACCCGCAAGCGCCCCTCAACTCAAACCGTCTGACAAGCGTTCCAGAGGCATGTTGGGGTGTTTCAGCGGTTATTCGAGGCGCCCTGCTGCGCTCGTTCCTTTTGGCTCAGGCGTTGGCGGGGGTGGCGACTGACGAGAAACGCCCCTGCCGTCGGCCTGCAGCCGAGCGCGCCCAGGCCGAGAGAGCCAAGAGGGCGCGGATCGTGGCTGGGGACCGCCCGGCGCTGATTACCCTGTCTTTCGAGGAACGGGGCGCAGTGAAGCCTGTGACGGAGAGGCAGTGCCACCAGCTCCTGAGCGACCTCAGCGTCTTCTGCCAGTCGCAGGGCCTGACCTGGACCGACCGCCAGGGCATGGGCGTTGCTCTGGTTCAGCTTCAGAACTACATGTACCTGGACGGCCGCCTGGGCTCCGGCGGCAGCCGTCTGCCGGCTGCGGCGCCTCGCTACTGCCCGTCGGTCGGCGAGCAGGTGAGGGTGCAGCTGCCTCGCGCCAGCCGCTGCGCGCAAGCGTGGGTGCGCCGCGCCCCGGGCCATCAGCGGCTGCTGCTGCCCCGCGCGGCCGCCCTCGCAGTGGCGGGACTTCTGCTAGTCGAGGGGCGGCTTCGCATGGGCGCCTGGAGCTGCCTGGCCTTCGCGCGCCACCTGCGGCCAATCGAGTGCTTCAGGCTGCTCGGGCGCCACGTTGTCGCCGGCAACCTTGCCGCGGGCAGCCAGTTCCAGCGCCGGGGTCTTCTCCTGGCGGACGCCGTAGGCGGGCAGCTGGGCAAGACGGGCGCCTGGGGCGAGTCCGTCTTCCTCGACCTCGACGAGTGGCTGGTGCCAGTCCTCGCCGCTCTGCAGATGACGACGGCCCCGGACGCCTCGCCATGGCCCTTCGCGGCGCTGGAGCTCGGGCGGGCTTTCAAGCGAGCTTGCGAGCTGCTGGGCCTGGGGCCCGCGGGCCCGCGCCGTTACTCCCTCCGCCATGGGGGGGCATCCGAAGATCTCTTTCGCCAGAGGAGGTCAGTGGAGGCCGTCCAGAGGCGCCGTCGCTGGGCCAGCTCGCAGTCTCTCAAGCGCGACGGCGAGGGGACCCGCGTGTTGACGCAGCTCAACCAGGTGCCCAACCACGCGTTGCGCTTCGGGGAGCTGGTCGAGCAGTATTCTGCCGCCCTAGTGGAGGAGGGACTGACCGGCAGCGGTGCGTGGTCCCTGGTTCCGACCGAGCTGCAGCGCTTGCTTCGCCGCCCAGTGTCGACGCCCGCTCCATTATGAATGCAGCGCCTTCTGATGTCGATCGCCACCGGACTCAGGTGTTTCATCTTGCTGCGCAGCGCGGTAGGGACTTCACCCGCTGCGCATTGCTCGAGTTCTTCTGTGGCAGTATGCGTCTGACCAAGCACTTCAGACGTCATGGCCGTGGCGCCCTTGGGTTCGGCATCGCGCGGCATGCAGCTGATAATCATATCAGTCCGATCGTTGCTAAGCGAGTCCGAGGCTGGATCCTTTCGAAAGCAGTCGGCGCAGTTTGGTTAGCCACGCCCTGTGCTACCTTTTCTGTCGCCCGGCGCTCTCCCCTTCGCTCCTTTCTTTTTTCCCCTCGGCCCCAGGATTGTGAGTGTTGTGCGTGTGTGTGTGATGTATGCTTTGTGTGGTGCGTGCTTTTTGTGTGTTGTAGGTGTTGTGTGTGTGTGTTATGTTTGTCTAGCGTGTGATGTGTTGGGCGTGATTTGTGTCTCTGTGTGCATGTAGTTCTGAAGCCCCAGGAGGCCCCAGGAAGCCCCAGGCGGCCTCAGGAGGCCCCAGGAGACCCCAGGAGGCTTCAGGAGGCCCCAAGAGGCTCCAGGAGGCCGCAGGAGGCCCCAGGAGGCCCCAGGAGGTTTCAGGAGACCCCCAGGAGGCTCCGAGGCGGGGTCTGGGGTGCCAGAAGGTTCAGAAAGCCCCAGGAGGCCCCAGGAGGTTCCAGGAGGCCCCCAGGAGGCTCCGAGGCGGGGTCTGGGGCTCGATGTTGGAAGGATTTTTCCAGCGAAACCGCCATTCCCTGAGAATCGGGGTCACAATTATTGAAAGTACCATGTGTTTTTGAAGGTTTTATGTTAAAATGTTGAAATTCCCATGTGTTTTTGGACCCTGACGTCACGATCTGCGTGAGGGGTGCCACCGATTTTCAGAATTTCGAGGATGTCCCGAGCGAAACGACCAGAAAAATCGCGGACGCGTGCGCATTAATCGCCTCTGAGCTCTACTCCCTCGGAGAGGTGCGTATGAGAATATATATATATATATACATATATATATATACACACACCCTGTAACGCCCCTCGCGGGGGTAGAAGCCAACTGGGTGCAGTTTACTCCGTGGAGCGTCGTGGTGTCTCCTCCTCCACTCGTGTGCTTGCGCCAGGCTCGCAGGTGGTCAGAAAAATGCCCCGAACATTGAAGATACGTTATTAGAGGTTTCGTCTTCGACTCCTTTCCCAGAGCCCCGACGTGGTGTCTGTTCATTGTGTCGGCGCCCTTGTTGTCGTGAAATTATCCTCGGGGGGCCTCTTTGTGACGCTCCCGAGAAAGGGGAGGAGGGAGGAGGGAGGAGGGAAGGAGGAGGGAGGAGGGAGGAGGACGGATGGGGAGGAGGCGGATCTCGCGCACGGCGCTATCGGAGCCATCGAGGCTACGGATGAGGTAGGAGGAGGAGGAGGAGGAGGAGGAGGAGGAGGAGGAGGAAGAGGCGGAGGAGGAGGAAGAGGAGGAGGCGGAGGAGGAGAAAAATGAAAAGGAGGAGGAAGAGGGGGAGGAAGGATTAAAAGCAGGACGGATGAGCAGAAGGATGACGACGACGAGCAGGAGGAGGAGAGGGAATGACGCCCGTCCTGGAGCCTCTTGGTGTCGCCTTGGCTCTCCTAGAGCGTGCTGGGGGTCCTGTGGCCTGTTTGGGCTCTTCGGGGCCTCTTGGGGCCTCTTGAAGCCTCCTGGGCCTTCTGGAGCTCCCTGAGTGTAATTCAAAATGGGTCCTCCGGGGGGGCTCTTGAGATTTCGTGGGCCCTCCCGGGGCCGCCACGGGCCCTCCTGGAGCCTCCGTGGGCCCTCTCAGAACCCTCTCGCGGGGGCGGAATGATGAAAACAATTTCACGCATGGGGGCCTTTCCGTTGAGAATGGGGGCGCGGTGCAGAGTGGGTCCTCCTGGGGCCCTCCGGAGATCTCCTAGGCACTCCCGAGGCCGCCATGGGCCCTCCTGGAGCCTCTGGGGGCCTCGAAGAAGCCTCTCGCGGGAGCTGAAAAATGACGACAGTTTCACGGATGGGAGCCTTTCCGTTGAGAAGGGGAGCGCGGTGAAGGTAATAAAATGACGACAGTGTCGCACTTGAGGCCCCAAATCGTCTTTGGGCACCTCGGGCGCGAATCCCCTTCCCGCATAGTACGGTGCGATTTTCCCTCCCCCCGCTGACCCGCCGGACCCCGGGAGGGTGATTTTTGTAGTTTTTTCGCTTGTAGGAAACACTTCCCCCCCCCTCTCGACGGTGACGGAGGGCAGGCGGCGGGGGGAGGCGGGTTGGCGGGGTGGCGGGTTGGCTGGGGTTGCGGGGTGGCTGGTTGGGCTGGTTGAGCCGGTTGAGTTGTTTGGGTGGCTGGTTGGTTGGGCTGGCTGGTTGGGCTGGCTAGGGCAATTGGTTTCGATATAGCAGCAGCAATAGTGGATGCTGTGCTGCGCTATGCTCTGCTATGCTCTGCTATGCTCTGCTCTGCGATGCTATGCTATGCTCTGATATGCTATGCTGCGCAATGATTTGCTGGGCTAGGCTAGGCTAGGCTAGGCTAGGCTATGCTGCGCTATGCTATGCTGCGCTAGGCTATGCTATGCTATGCTTTTGCTTTGCCTTCGCTGTTGCCTTCGCTTTTGCCTTTGCTTTCGCTTTTGCTAGGCACCCAGGGAGCGCAACTGGGGGAACCGCGCGCTTGATTTTACCTCTGCTGTTGCTTTTGCTGGGCTCCCAGGGGACCGGGGGAACCGCCCGGGGCGCATTACACAGCCCGGCCCCTTTAAGCGAAGAAAGTAAGAACCCTTCAAGGCAGAGCCTAGGAAGGGAATAAACCCGGTTTCGTAATGCTTCCGGGACATTTACCCTGGGTTAATTATTCTAGAATGATAATGATTGAGCCTGGGGCGCGCAGTTTGAGAGTAAGAGTACGTTCCGGATTGAAATGAAGCCTGGCCCATAACGTTGGAATGTTTAACTTAGGTTGATTATCCCGGAAAGGTAATAAGCCGGGCGGGGGGGGGCCGAACCCGATCCATTCACAGGACAATAATCCATGGGGTATCACCTGAGGACAACGAACCTAGGTTTTCACTCCTAGATGAAAAAAAACACGGCCGACGAGGATTTCACGACTACCCTCCCTCCTCCTCCTCCACCTCCTCCTCCTCCTCCTCCTCTTCCATTTCCTCCTCCTCCTCCTCTTCCTCCTCCTCCTCCTCCTCCTGGTGCCCCCTCAGGCCCCTGCCTTTTCCTGGGGCCTCCTGGGGCCTCCTGGGGCCTCCTGGAGCCTTCTGGGCCTCCCGGGACCCCCTGGGGCCTCCTAGGTCATTCCTCGTCGTCGTCCTCCTCCTCCTCCTCCTCATCGTCGTCCTGTTCCCCCTCTGCTTCCTCGTTTTCCTCCTCCTCCTCCTCCTCCTCCTCCTCCTCTTCTTTTTCATTTTCACTATCGTCCTGCATCCTCCTCCTCCTCCTCCTCCTCCGCCTCCTCCTCCTCCTGCTGCTCCTCTTCCCCCTCGTCTTTTTCCTCGTGCAGAACACGACCTCGAGGAAACGCACGACATTCGTCCCAGCGGCTACGCGCCGGAGGACTACCCAGAGGAAGCGCGCGCCGGAGGCCGACCCGGGGAAAGCACTTGAGGTGCGGGCCCCATAGGGAGGGGGTTCCCGCCTGAGACTTCTTTGCAATTCGCTCACAGACGAAGCTCCCGCTTGAGACTTCCTCCACATTCAGGCCAGAGGAACCCAAAAGTGACAACAGGTGCAGGAGGCCGATGACCCGCTCGGATTGCCAACATCATACGCGGGCCCCAAAGGGAGGGTGCTCCCGCTTGAGACTCCCTCGGAATTCACTCACAGACGAAGCTCCCGCCTTTGACTTCCTCGACATTCAGGCCTGAGGAACCCAAGAGTAACGACAGTGTCAGGAGGCCGATGACCCGTTCGGATTGCCAACATCAAATGCGGGCCCCATGGGGAGGGGGCTCTCGCCCGAGACTTCTTCGTAATTCACTCACCGACGAGTTTCCCGCCTGCGACTTCGTGATAAGTCAGGTTTCGGAGGACCCCAAAAGCAACGACACTTGCAGGACGCCGATGACCCGCTCGGATTGTCAACATGGAGTGCGGGCCCCATATGGAGGGGACTCGCGCCTGAGATTTTCTTGCAAGTCACTCACAGACGAGGCTCCCGCCCGAGACTTTTTCCACATTCAGGGTTGATGACCCCAAAAGTGACGACAGTTACAGGTTTCCGACGACCCGTTTGGATTACCAGCGTGACGTGCGGGCCTCCATATGGGAGGGTTCGCGCCTGAGACGTCTTCGAGGTTCACTCACGTACGAGGTTCCCGCCTCATACGTCCTCCATACTCACGCCTCAAGGGTCCAAGCGTGATGACAGTTACAACTTTCCGATGACCCGCGCGGAGTAATAACATCACCCGCGGGCTCTATTGGGAGGGGGCTCCCGCCAGAGATGCCCTCGCAATTTACTTACAGACGAGTCTCCCGCCCCATAGTTCCTTCACATTCTAGCCTCAGGCGTCCAAGTGCGATGACAGTCAAAGTTTCTGATGAACCGCGCGGGTTAATATCATCATCCGCGGGCCACATCGGGAGGGGTTTTTTGCTTGAAGTTTCCACGCGGTTCACTCACAGACGAGGCTTGCGCCTCACACTTCCTCCATATTCAGGTTTCAGAAGGTCCAACAGCGACGGCAGTTACAGGTATCCGATTGCCCGCTCGAATTACCTACATGAGATGCGGGCCCTCTAGGGAGGGGGTTCTCGCCCGAGTTTGTTTTTCGATTTCTCGTAAACGAGGCTCTTGCCTGATACTTCCTCCACTGTCAAGCCACTTGAGCCCAAACGTGGCGACGGTTACAGGTTTCTGATGACCCACTCGGATTACAAACGTGAGCTGCGGAATGAGTGTGTGATTGGGTGCAGCCGATGATGATGATGGTGATGGCGAGAATGATGGTGATGACAGTGCTGGTGATGACAGTGATGATGATGATGATGATGATGATGATGATGATGATGATGCTGATGATGATGATGATGATGATGATGATGATGATGATGATGCTGATGATGATGATGATGATGATGATGATGATGATGATGCTGATGATGATGATGATGATGATTCTGCGAATGGACGTACGTGATTGGCTTGGTTGGTAGATGGGTGAATGAGTGGGCGACTGCGAGTGTGAGTGATGATGATGGGTGTGTGAGTGAATGTGTGTGAGTGGGTGAGAGAGTGGGTGAGTGAGAGTGAATGATGATGTGTGTGTGAGAGTGGGTGAGTGAGTGGGTGAGTGGGAGTGAGTGGTGACGTGTGTGAGTGATTGGGTGAATGAGTGTGCGATTCGAGAAAGGAGAGGGTGTGCTGTCCTGCGCGGGGGGTGTGCAGAGAAAACAAGCACCCCACTTGGGATGTGGGCAATCAGGGAGTTGTGTCGTGGAAAACATGATGCAGCGCAGCCTAACGTAGTGCTGTACGGTGTGGTCCGCTCTAGTGTAATTCATGGGATAATACGAGCGCGCTACGTGGCAGAATGGAAGGAGGGGCGGGCGGTGGGAGGAGACCAGGGGGGGAACTTGACTTAAACTGCGCCGACGTGGAGCAGGGGCTGCGCCGACCTGCTTGCGACGTTTTGCCTCCCAACGGCGTCCGACGCTTGCCGCGCTCCGCCGCCCGGTTCGTCCTGAGGCGCGGTCTAGCTCAGAGGCGGGAGGCCGAGATCCGATGCCCACAGATCATTTGGGTTGCAGGGCCAGCAGCAGCAGCGTGCCGCCCAGGACGAGCGGGGAGGGGGCCGACAAGGCCCGCTCCGATCCGCCCGTCCGCCGCGCGCCGCCAGCTGCGCCCGAGGATGACCACTGGTCCTGGCAGGAGGACTACGGCCAGGAGGCCAGCCGTGGCGGCGGGAGGCCCACCCCGCGCGCCGCGGGGCGATCTGTGTGTTCGTCAGCTGGTTCTTTCGCCTGGGCTCTTGATGGGGAGCGCCTCGCGGCGTGACACCGCCCGCCCGCCCCCCACCCCCCCGTGTGCGGGTGGAGGGCGGGCTGTTTCCAGAGGCATCCTGGGAGGCGTTGATCCCATCTCGCAGTGGGACGTGGGCGGGGCCCCGCCAGGGGCCCCACCAGACCTCTGACGCCGTGCGTCCTTTCACGACGTGGGTCTCTGGAGCTCTCGGCCCCATCTCCATAACAGCCTTTTCTCCTCGCGGGTTGTTTAGGCCCACCTCGGCCCCAGGACGCTGGCATCGCGCCCGTCCTGTTTTTTTTTGCGACGCCTGGAGGTCGGACGGTCCACCGAAAGTGTGGCGAGCGGCGTACCTCAGATGTCCCTGGAAGGCCTGTTTCTCAGGGTTGTCCTGGAGCCCTCCCCGAGGCTCTTGGAAGCCGCCCAGATGCGTTCCCAGTTGCTATCATGGTGGTTCCGATGGCCTCCAAGGGGCAACCGATGTGCTTCCAGGGGCATCCCAAGGACAGCCGATGGCACTTGGGGTCTCGTCCAGGGGGACTCCCAGAGGCATCCAGGGACCTTCCAGAGGCAACTCTGGGCTTCCAGAATCGTCCCAACTGTCTCCAGAAGGATCCTGGGCGGAACTTCTAGGTGCATCTCAGTGGCCTGCAGCCCGTGGGCCATTTCTGCAGAATTTGCTGTGGTTGTCGGGACGTCTGAAGGGAGCGTGGGCTAACCACCTTCTCTTCTATTTCGATCCGACTGCAGTTTTCGCCTGCGTGTCTCGAACGGCACCGTTCGTCTGAGTCACTGGGTAGTTGGCCGTTTGGGGCAGTCCAGGTGGCTGGAGGTCGCCGTGGGCCTGTCCAGTGGTGACTGGGGGGCCATCTTCAGCAATTCAGCAGTCTGCTTGGGGCCAGTCGTCGGGCCGGCCTGTGACCGGCGATTTCTCGCCCCCGATCCCCGGGTTACCTTGGACAAATTGACCGCGCAGGCGCAAAACATCCGAGACCCCCCAATGGCGCTAACGAGAAACACCCCTACTCATAGAGAATGGGCGTATCCCCGAGTTGGGCCCAGAATTGTCTGGCCAGCCGGAATTTGACCATGTCGGGGATTGGAGTCGCAGTATTGGAGTCGCAGTATTTCTCGTCAGCCAGGGTGGAAGTGCGATTGAGGTGTCTTGGCGGCAGCATGCATTCCTTGTTGTTCTTGTGAGGCGGCTGACGCTGGCACTCTGTCCTGAAACAGGGGGGCACATGGAGGCATGCGCACGTAGGTCAACGCAAATCCGCACATGTAATCAATTGCGAGCGCGTGGAAGCGAAGGAAGCAAATGGGCATACGGCATTTGTGGAACCATGCGAAAGCACGCGTAATCAGGTGGGGGCGAGTGAGAGCAAACCGAAGGACCCTGCATCATTGACACGTGAAGCAAGCGGGAGCACTTGTGAGCACCCAGAAGGGAGTTGACAGCACGTCGAAGCATGCGGAATCAGGTGCAAGCACGCAGGGCCAACGGACACATATGGAAGCACACGTAAGCAAGCAGAAGCACATCCTAAGATCAAGGCGAGCGGCCAGTCGGGGCTGCAGGGAGCCTACGTCGAGCGGCCAGTGTTGGCTATTATGAAATCTTCGCGTAACCCCAGCAGCCCGTCCAGAAACGATTCCCAGACGAGTTGCCCTGATCAGGGATGTGGATGAGAATGCAGTGGAATAACGAGCTGGGTAAGATGTCGTTCCCCAAGAGGGGGGATGGAGGAGGAATCGGAGGAGTAGTGAGAGGAGGACGATGATGAGGAGGAGGAGGAGGAAGAAACATAATAACAATACCAGCGCTACTAATATCTATATCGCTGAAGGAAGAATAATAAGTCTACACGCACGACCACGAATAAGAAGACGAACGCCAATGCTAATAATATGGAACGTTGGCAGTACTACTGGTACTTGCAATAACTATACTCACAGTAGGAGCAACACTCATGAGCAATACTTTCACTACTAATAATAATGAGCCGAACCATAATAGTACTATCACGGTTAATACGATTACGAATAATAACTTGAACCCACGTAATAACACTACGCAGACGGTTAAGACGAATCATACGCAGACGAAGAAAACAAACGGAAGCAGGAGGAGGAGGAGTAGAAGGGCCAGTCTCAACCCAAGAGTCATCAGCGATCTTGGAATAAACCCGCCCTCCAAGCTCCTTGTTCAAAGGCCCCTACAACTTCAATTTCTACTAAAGGAACTGCCTCGTTGGAAGACAACCGTTTGAAGACCCTGAAGCATGTCAAAACATTCTCGGGACTCCAACGCCACGGATCAACCTGACTGATGCGTCTTGACGATCCTGAATCCAGCCAGAAAGCCATTCCTCGGACCCCATCACCGCGAATGAACGTAGCACCCTCATAATCCTGAGTCTTTCGAAACATGTCTGGCGCGCTGATCACGGGAATCCGTGGAACGCTCGCAAATTCACAAGCGAATGTGCGCGGCGCTAAAGGCGAGAGCCACATTTCGAAAAGGAACCGCCCTCAATCCGTGAAACTCTTGCACATGGAGCGTGTTTCTCTCTTGCTTGGGGCATAATGGGCATTATAGCCCCCTGCCCCCCCCCGAAAACGTAACGGCCCTCCCCCCGGTGCGCTCCGGGCACTGCCGCCGTGCGCATCGGCGTCCGCGTAGGCATCCGCATAGGAGCCTGGTGCGCATTCGCACAGGGATCCGCATAGGGATCCGCGTAAGGAGCCGCATAGGGATTCGCAGGGATCCGCATAAGCATCCGCGTTGGGATCTGTGTATGGATCTCAATAGGGATCCGCATGGGGATTTGTGTAGGGACCCGCACTGGGATCCGCATAGGGATCCGAGATTGTGGTTTTGTGTTCCCGGTGAACAGTCTTCTCTTCCTGCTGTTCCTCCTCCTTAGCACGCAGAGGAGGAGGGGGAGGAGGAGGAGGAGGAGAAGGAGGAGGAGGAGGAGGATGAGGTGCAGGTGGAGGAGGAGGGAGTCTGGTAGAACGTCGCATTCTATTATCAGCACTTCCTTGCGTGTCGTTTGGCTGTCCGTAGCATATCCTCACCTACATGTTCGTTCTATTTGTCTTGTGCACGCAGGCGCTGTGGTGTGCACCAGCGCTGCGTGCACGCGGTTGCTGTGGTGCAGTCAGGCGCTGTGGTGTGCATAGGCGCTGCGGTGCACGCAATCATTGTGGTGTACGCGCTGTGTTGCACATGGTTGCTGCGGTGTAACACATTTGCGGTGGTGTACATAGGCGCTGTGGTGCACGCAAGCACTGTAGTGTACACAGGCGCCGCGTCGCACACGGCTCTTGCGGTGCACGCAGGCGCTGTGGTGCACACGCACGCTGTGGTGCACGCGAGCACTGTGGTGTACGCAGGCGCTGTGGGGCAGGTCGCTACCTACATGCGCTCGCGTTGTTGTCGTCGTCGTCGCTCGTCGCTCATCGCTCATCGTCGTCGTGCGCGCGGGCGCGTCTGTGGTGCCGGAGCCACACGGCGGGGGGGGGGCGTTACATTTTTCCCCCCCTTGCCCCCCCCTATAACGCCCATTATCGCCGAATGTTGAAAAGGAATGTGCGCGGGGCTTAGGCGGGAGCCACATGTTGGATACCACCCACCCTCAATCCGTGAAGCTCTTGCAAGTGTTTGCAAGGAATGTGCGCGGCGCTAAGGCGAGAGCCACGTTTTGAAAACCCCCCGCCCGCAATCCGCGAAACTCTTGCAACTTTTTACAGCGAGTGTGCGCGGGGCTAAGGCGAGAGCCTCATGTTGAAAACGACTCTCCCTCAATCTGTGAAGCTCTTGCAGAGGATCATGAGGAATGTTTGCGGCGCTAAGGCGAAAGCCACGTTTTGAACACCGCCCGCCCTCAACTCGTGAAACTGTTGCCACTTTGTAGGTTTCAGGCTCCTAAGTGGTGAGGAAGTCTCGGGCGAAACGCTCGGCCCGCCTGACGATGATGTTGATGATGATGATGTCCATGATGATGAAGCTGCTGCTGATTATGATGATTATGATGATGGTGATGGTTATGATGATGATGGTGGTTGTATTGATGATGATGATGCTGATTATGCTGATGATGATGCTGATGACGATGCTGATGCTGATGCTGATACTGATGACGAGATATCGAGTAAGTAACGTGGTCTGCAGTCTCTTCAAAACGAGGACCCAACACCACAGGTTGATTGGGAACAAACGTCAGTGTCGTTTTGTTTGTTTTCGTTGGGTATGACGGAAGGGCCTGGATGGGCGTGGTACCAGCCCGCTAAGCAGCATAGTGGACGAGCTTAAGGGAATTAGGGATACTAGCAGCTTGAGGGGGGGCAGGAGAAACAACAGTATGAGTAGGATGAGCATGATGAGGAGGAGGAGGAGGAGAAGTTGGAGTTGGAGGAGGAGGCGGATGATGAGGCGGAGGAGGAGGAGGAGGAGTTGGAGGAGGAGTTGGAGGAGGAGGAGGTGGATGAGGAGAAGGAGGAGGAGTGGGAGGAGCCCCCCCCCGCTTGCGGAGGCAGCGGCCCCGCGCGGAGCACCCGCGGGGTGTTGGCAACCCGGGCAGCTGGGGCGAAGGCGGGCGTCTTGCCAACGGCGGGCAGCCCCTTGCCCTGCTGTTCCGTCGTATCCTGGGTTACGTAGAGTTCCGCCCCCCCATGGGCTTCCACATCTTCGCAGTGCACGTGCTCTGGCACGAAACCGTCAAACATCGAATCCGAATGGGACGAACATGTCCCGGGGAACGGGTCGAGTCCGCGGTCCAGGGGTTGCGGAAAATACCCACGATGTCGGAGACCTGATCTTTCGTCTTCGCTTGTTTTGCCCGTCGCACCATCGACCTCTTGTCCTCTCTTGTCCTCGCCCCTTTCTTGACGAAAATGTTGACCCACCTCCAGTCGACCGCTGCCAGATACGGGCTCCGCGTACACCTCGGCAAGACAAAGATCCTCACGAACTGCCCTGGCGACGCGGGCAGCTCCGTGCTCGCCGGCGACTCCCAAGCCGAGAATCTTTTCGCGGGGAGGTACCGAGAAGCATCTGGGCCGACTCATCAATCTGGAAGACCTACCATGGAACAGACATTTCGAATCGAATGGCAACTGCCTGGACACATTTTGCCAAGTTTCGACGTGCCCTGAGGTTGAGGAGATACCCGTTATCTTCGATATTCAAGCTACTTGATTCGGTCGTGACTTCGACCGCCTTATGTGGATGCTCGTGCTGGGCGGTGCAGGCCGAGGACCAGCAGCATCTCAGAGGAACGTGGAGCGAAATGCTCCGCAGCAACTTCCAATCCCCCGCAAACAATGCCAGACGATCCACCCATGTGTTAGCAGAAAGCCTACGACAGAGGAGTGAAGGATACGCTTGCGACGCGCTGGAGCAGGAAACGGAAGCTCGCTTTTAACAGTGAGTCTTGCACAATTGGAAAATGGAGTGCGCGGCTGTTGCGCTGGACCCCCTGTTTCCGAGCGTTCGCACCGACGTTCAGTGCGACCTTGCAGCGTTGTTCGGACGACCCCTGACAGCCCAGACGCTAGTCAGCGATGATCCTCTGAATCCTGACCATGGCCTAGCTTCGGACCCTGCTCGGGCTCTCGCCCGCGCAGGCCCCCAAGCCTCTGGATCGTTTGGATCTGCGCCCCCTCCCTCCCTCCGATCCCTCCCTCCTCCTTTCCTTCCCCGCTTGTCCTCCCTTCTATTTTGCGCTCCGGGCTTGTGGCCCTACAGCGGGGGCGGTGCCAACGGGGCCTGCCTCGCCATTTTTACGACAACAGAATCTTCGATTCTTTCTGCAATCACTTCCTTAATGCCCGCGTTGCTCGGTCTGCCCTGTTGAATTCCCGTGGGCCGCCAGGGGCCTGGCCCACCGCGGCTGGGCAGCAAACCGTTTTGTTTTCGTCGCCGGCTTGTTGTTTTTACTTTTCTGCCTTATAAGCCTTAGGGATGTACCAGACCGGGTTAGCGACAAGTGGCAACACCGACGAGGTCATTTTATATGAATCATGCGATGATTGGGGACAACTTTTGTGATGTCTACATATACGGGAGTACGAGTTGCATGCCCCATGGAACCGAGTCGGGGCAATAGTTGTATACATATGTGTATAGATCCATATATGTATGTATATATATATATGTGTATTTGTATATCGGTGTGTACATATATATATATATATATATATATGTGTGTGTGCATGCATGAGCGCGCCCGCAGCGCCGGGAATATGGAAAACAGGGCCCCAGTTTCAAGCTTCCCCCCTTTCCCCTTCCAGAAGGTCGGGGGAGTTTCCGAAGCTCCCCCCCGCCCCCTCCTTTCTGCAAGGGTTTCAAAGCTATGGGGGGCCCTGGCTAACTGGGATGGTTTCGAAGCTACCCCCCCCTTTTTTTCGGAGCAGAAGGCGAGCTGGGCTTCCCCTTCAAAGGGGGGCGGGGCTTCGGACCCCCACCCCTCCTTTTTTGTGGTCTGGACGCAGGGGGGGGGCGGCTTCAAGCTACCCCTTTCCGCTCTCCGTTGCAAAGTGGGTGGTGGTGTGGGGGGGGGGAGGGGGGGGGGCTTCCGAAGCCCCCCCCCTTCCACCCCCCCCCCCCGCGCCCTTCCAGGGCCATGGCAAAATGATTGAACTTGTGCAGACAGGTGCGCACCGCAGCGCTAGAGGACACATAAAAGAATAACGTCGAGACCACACGCGAGTTCAAGGTTCTGAACACGACGGACGCGCACTGGACCTACCCGATAGAGACCCTCAAGTCCATTGCCAAGCCGTTCCTCGAGCGCAAGAAAAAAGCAAGGCTCCGGCAACCAGCTCATGGCCGAAAAGCTGGCAATTCTACTACAGGGTGCAGAACCACGCAAACAGCACATCGGCGCGCACCTCGGCGCGGACAGAAGAAAGGCTGGACAGTCTCAATCGGGCGATCAAGAAGAAGGAGCAACTCCTAGACGCGGGAAGGGAAATATTTCCAGGAAGGTGAATTCGAATCGTGGCAAAACGGGGTAGCATTCAGAAACACATCGATTCAGCAGGTGCGTGGCAGGCACGCCCGATTGGACTGGGTTGGTCGCCATGGAATCTGGCGGGCGGGGTTCGCCTGGGAATTCCCGAGAAGCGATTTCCACGTCGTCGGCACCACTCATGGCAAGATGAAGCGCAATTACAGCAGAGCTATACGTTCCAGGCCCAGTCACGCATAATGAGCGCAACGTGTACCCCAGGCTGGCGCTCGAGGAGGAATGTCAAGCCATGCCTATCGAAATCGACGACGAGAAGCGCCTACTCCAAGAAAGCACCGACGACCTCGGCGACGAGCTCAAGCCGCAGCCCCATGCATCAGATTACGACGCGGGGGACAAAGTAGTCAAGCTTTTCTACGGGGGCAAGAAGCGCCTCGGGCATTTCAAGAAGAGGGCATTGGTTCTTGAATGGTCGCCTCCAGGAGAAATATTCAGGTGCAAGGAGGAGTTGATCGAGGCGCCATGGTCAGAGAAACGCTTTGAATGTATTCTAGATCGCACCTGCAGGGTCGGCTGTGCTCTACTGCGTGCCCATCGCAGCCGGAGCTTCACGCCCGACGGGAAGAACGTCGAGCCCTCGTTTCCAGGACTGCTTATTTTGCGCATGCTGTGCCCGTTTTGGCGACGCGTGCGCCCTCAATTGCAGTGCCAGACGCAACCGTGGTCTCCGCCTCCGCATGCTCGCGGCTCCTGGCCACGCCTTAGGAGAGAATGTCTCGGGGCTACATGGTGCGTCGTCGCGTCCAGTCCCCAGTGGGCGAATCTCGACTGCGTCGCATCCAGCGAGGACGCCACCGACGCGTTCCCCAGCATTCTGACCGGCTAAGCTGCACAAGTAATGTTCACATGCTTGGCAGGCACAAGCAGAAACTCTTCGGTGAAACATGCAAGCGCGCCGCTGTCAAGGTCGACGGCGTGGACCAGTCTGGAAATTCCATCGGATCTGGAGTTGTGCCTGGGCGCAGCACGGGATGCGCATCTTTCAATTTTGCATGCGAGCAGCCAGTGGGCCACTGGACCATGCGACGCAGGACTCAGATCTGTTCGCCGCTGTCTCCCCCGTCACTCAGAACATGATCGACCTTTCAATCTGCTCATACGTGGGCGGCGTCCTCGGGCCCCCGCAGAGCGGCCCGACGAAAGCGCCCAAGACCTGCAGGAACATCAACGCGGACAACGGCAATGGGGGCGGGGGGAGGGCGCGCTTCAGGGCAACCGGGGGGGCATCTACATGACGCCCATTCCGGCCCTCTTGAGCCAGCGAACGAAGAGGGCCCGACGGGCGAGCAGAAGAAGCGCGCATCAGTTTAATGACGCCGCCCACGGAGCCCTTCTCCAAATTGGCGCAGTGGTAACGGAGGGCAAGGCGCCAGCGGGAATCGTTGAGGATGAGCTGGCCGCTTGTTTTGCAGGAGTGTGACTTCAGATATGGGCGCCGATCAATTTGCGCCGCGGTCGGCTTCGAGTTCGGCATGCGCGCTGCCGCGAGCTAAGAGAAGGCGCCCGCCGAGAGCGGGCGAAGGCGGCCGCTGAGAGACATAGTGGGATGCTGACTCCGCCCGCCGAGGCCGCTTCTCTTATACTTCTTCCTGTCCATTTCCCACTCCTCCTCCTCCCCTTCCTCCTCCTCCTGATGCCCCTTCCTGCTCCTCCCCCTCCTCCACCTCCTCCTCCCCCTCCTCCTCCTCCTCCTCCTCCCCCAGCCGTTCTGGCGCAGGTGTGCGCTTGCGGGTCCTCTCTTCAGAACGGCAAGGGATCCGCGAGTCAAATTTTGGCTTCTATATTCTCGATCATCTTTCCCAGTCAGCCTGATGTCCCATGGCCCTTACAAGGGCGGCGGCGGCGGCGGCGGAGGCGCTCCTCCCCCGTGGCGCGGCGGCGGCTCCAAGGGCTGGCAGAGGCATGACTGGAGTAACTACGACTACGGCGGGGGCGCCCAGTGGGCAGCTGGCCAAGGACACGGCGCGGCAGGCAGGAGTGACTGCTGGAAGTGCGTTGCGTGCGGGTGCGGCAAGACCACAGCGTGGGCGTCGCACTGCAAGCACTGCGGGTCGCCGAGGCAGGCTCCCTCGGCCAGTCAGCATGCTCCTCCTCGTGGCGTTTGGTCTCATCTTCAGGGTCTTCCTCGCGCTCCTGGGCATCACCCCCCAGGAGAACGGTCTGCCCTCCCGCCTGGACCTCAGCTTGGAGGAGCGCCGCAGGGCACGGGCGGCAGCGGCCGTGGTCCAGACGCCCCGCTGGACGCGAAGGAGTTCCAGATGCTGGTCGCCCTGGCACGCCGCGTAGGTGACCAGGCCACCGCGGCCAGGTACCAAGGCCAGCTGGACGCCATGGCGGCAGCCTCGAAGCCTCCGCCGAAGGCCTTGCAGGACCAGGTCAGCGACCTGCACCGCCGCATCAAGAAGCTCGACGGCAGGCTGGAGGCGGAGCTGGCGAAGCTTGCGAGGTGGCAGGACGGCATCAAGGCGCAGGAGGTACTCATTCACGACTTGTCGAAGCAGTCCGAGGCCATGGTCACAGAACATCGGCAGTTTGTGGCACAGCTTCACAGTGCAGTTGT